AGTTTAAAGCTGCGTTCGTCAAAGGACACGTGTCCCGGACGAGCGTAGTGCTGACGCTTTCGCGCCTCGGATGCTTGGGCTGCGATTCCATCGCTGGTCGCGCTGCCGTTCCGCAAGTGTACCTGTGCTTGCGGGTCTGCGTGTGTGACATCGAGGAGTATTCCTTTGTTGCGGTACCCCGGAGAAGATGCGTTCGTGAGGGCTCCTGGCCTGATGACGATGTCCATGCTCAGGTTTCTTTCCCCCGTGAACGGTGCCCCGCTTTCAACGTCGTGTTTGACGCGAAGGCCGTTGAGCGCTCTCGATAGTGCGTATTTTAACGGCTCGTGCATGCTGACCTGTGTTCCGTCCCTTGGACAGGTCCTTGCGTGCACCGTTGTGATGATCTCGCCTTCCCTGCCTCTGTGGCACCTGGGACATCTTTCCGCCAAGAATTCTTCAACTCCCAAGGCGCGTCTCGTCGCGTAGACGAATTCGTTCGATGGAATCTCTCTAGCTCGGTCGGTGGGAGCCGCTCTCAGGAACGCGTGTGCCCCTTGCCCTTGCGAGCTTCTCGTTCGTGCGTATGCCATGTTCCTGGCCTCTTGACCTCCGTAGGGGTTGTCCCGCGTGGGTGGTACCGCCTCCTGGGGGAGGTGCTCCAGAGACTCCATGAACTTTTCAAGTTGTATCTTGTTAATCGCCTTGCCCAGTTTGTGCTGGGCTTTCCTCGGCGTAGTAGATTCCCCATCGTGTGCTGCCAGTTCTGCAACGGTGGGCTGACGCCTTCCGGTTTCTCCTGTCGGTTCTAAGGCCCACTCAACCCATGACGGGGGAAGGATCCCCTTCAGAATCTCCACCGATACTCCATGCTCCTGGTTTAGTTCTTTGATAGCGTCCCCCATCCGCTCCACCAACACGGTTCCCGGTATCCGAACTCTCACCGACTCTCCCAATGGACCCCGTAACGCGGCTATAACCGCAGGAAGGGTGCCGACTAGGTTGCCCAGAGAAGCTGAGAACCTTCGCATAACGGCTGCTGGTAATCCTAGTCCTCCGGCTCCTGTCGACAGGCGCGCCTGGGCTTGTTGATAGGGCTTTAACTTGAAGCGGTCAGGCTGGCAGTCGTCTTGGAAGAACTCTTCTTCGACTTCGGTGTCTCTGAGCCCCATCGTTGCCTCTAGGACCCACATCACCATATTGTCCAGGCGTTTACAAGCCCCTTTCACTAGCTTATGATTGATGCCTCTCTCGATATATCCGGATCGCTGTGTCAGCGATTGTGATGTGACGAGGTGAGCCACCTGTTTGTCTGGCATGCGCACCAGCATGCGAGCAAGCTTGTCTGCACCCCCTTCAGTTATCACTTTCATTGCGATATCCTCGACGTAGGCATCCGTCCCAATGGGGACTCCCACAACTGTGATGCCCTCCTCCGCAATCGTAGGCCTGCATCGCCAAGTAGCCAACTTTCTGCTGGCGTCACGTCGTGCCCTGGTGGGGGAGTGCTGAGCTCTTCNGTCACTTTCATTGCCAAATACTCGACGTAGGCATCCGTCCCAATGGGGACTCCCACAACTGTGATGCCCTCCTCCGCAATCGGTAGGCCTGCATCGCCAAGTAGCCTCCTTTCTGCTGGCGTCACGTCGTGCCCTGGTGGGGGAAGCGCTGAGCTCTTCCCCCTGTTGACGATGATGCCCACAGCTTCTAGTTCGTCGACGAGGTCCGGTATCACCTNCCTCCGCAATCGGTAGGCCTGCATCGCCAAGTAGCCTCCTTTCTGCTGGCGTCACGTCGTGCCCTGGTGGGGGAGTGCTGAGCTCTTCCCTCTGTTGACGATGATGCCCACTGCTTCTAGTTGGTCGACGAGGTCCGGTATCACCTGAACATTTTCCGCTGTGATATTTTTGAAGTGCAGGCTGATGTCATCCATATAAGCTTTCAAGCATACCCCGAGGTGGTCGTACTTGGCTCTAAGCTTCAAGACGATCGGGACTAGGATGAAGCAGAACAGGGGCGGTCCCATTCCATCTCCTTGCTGCACACCGCTCTTGCACTCGATCGTCCGACGCTCTCCGGAGTCCATCGTGTATATCGCCTTTGCCGGGATTTCGTCGTAACACCTGGCGATGTACCCCACGAGATCTGGGACGCTCTTTGCGGCCTGGGCCATTATGGCGGTGCGCTTGCCCGTGTTGAAGGCATTTGAGCAATCCGTCTGGACTACCCANAGTGCGCTTTCCCGTGTTGAAGGCATTTGAGCAATCCGTCTGGACTACCCAATGACCTGTCTGATGAACCAGTTGTGCGTCCATCGCAACTTGTTCAACTCCTCCAGCTACCGCCACTCCGAATTGGTCCGCTTCCCGAAATATTTCTTCCAGTTTCGGTTTCCACTCCCTGACCGTTCCCGCTGCAATCAGCCTTCTCCAAGTCATTCCAATGCACACTGGACGGCACTTTTCACCGAGGGCGATTAGACTGGATTGTTTCCAAAGAGTCCAGAACTCCGGTGGGAACGCGTTGGGATCGTTGATGAGCCTCCTCCAAAGGGACGACATCGCGTTGCTGAACTCTTCCCGACCAATTTTAGTGTTGACGATGGACTTAAGGTGGGAGAAACGTTGCCCGTCATTTCCTGCTCCAGAGTTAGAGCTTCTGCTGTTGATGACTTGAAGGAGTACTTGTGGATCGAACTCGGTTTCTGGCCTCCATCTCGGGGCGCTTCCTTCCTCCTCCTCGGTGCGGCTTGCAGCTATGGCTTCGGCGATGGCCTGCTCCACTTGTACGGGATCCTCATGCGGAAATTTGGCTTTCAGACGTGCCCATGTCTCGTCGTTCCCCGGTGACGGTTGATCGGCTAGGAGCGCTCTTGCTGCGTCCTTCACGCCTCCAGAGTGCCGGCACGCCCTCGCCGCCCTTTTGAACTTGTCGTCGGGTGTGTCTTCCCGTGCCGGTCCCCTGCTCCTTGCACTCGCCGCCTTGGTATACTCAATCAGCCAAGGAAGAACGGACGATATATCCCCTCTTTTGAGCGAGTTGTAGCGTTTTTTTCGAGCTATCCGACCATCAAAGGAGTGCAGAATACCTGGTAGGAGGTACCAAAGTTTGATGACCCGGATAGTGGAAAGTGGGGTCCCGGTCGCCGAGGAAGCTCCGCCGCCTTCTGCTAGCTGCTTGTTAACAAGGTGGAGCACGTGAGTTTGGAGACGGGCATGGTCGGAAGCAAACCTAGGTTGAACTTTCTTCACCGTCTGGAACCTGAGTGAGAGATCATCCATGCTGACATCGTCCAAAGCAGGCCCTATTCCCGGACTGTCTTGGTTCCAGATGTACAGCGGACGTGCTCCGTGGGGTTCGTCGTTTAACCCCCTTATCAGTCTTTCAGCTCGTAGCTGCAGCCCCGGGTCAGCTTGAACCGCCGCCTCCAGGCTGTCCCTCCGAGAGTGTTGGTCCCCGCACCCGTGCACCCTACACTCAAGCAGCGCGCGTTCTCCGCGTCCCTCCAAGCTAGTTAGTACGCATCTTGCGTGGATGGGATGCCCGCAAGTGGGTTGCACCACACGGTGTCCCTCGATGACCTCACCCGAGCACACTCCGCATCTGGTACTGGAACGAGGGTGCTCGCTTCTGTTCCCCGTGGCGCCAGGTTCCATGCTTCCTCCAGCGTCCCCGTTCCTGGTCGCTCCGTCATCGGCACCCGGAGTACCCGTTCCCCCCGAGCCCCTTCCCCGGTGTGTTTCTCCGCAAGCCGGATGTGATGGCGTTCCTCTTTCTCGCGACTCACCGTCTGGATCCGGTTCACTTCCCTGCCGGCGTCGCCTGTTTCCGCCTTGAGGTGGTTCCGAGGAAGTTCGTTGACGTTCACCCGATGTAGTAGCGTCATCCGATAATCCGCTACCCTCGCGAGCAGATGGTCTGCGCCGCCTTGGCGTTCCTAGTGATTGGCTTCTTTCCCCGGGTCTTACTCGAGGGCTCGTCCGACTGGTGGCGTGTGCTGTTGTGGATGGGTTCCTCGGGGACAACAATCCTTCATCCTCCTCTGGGCCGCTTCCCATGTCAAAGCCCGGGTCGATGCCAACTCCCGTCACCCTTCGTGGCGCCGCGACAGTCGGGGTCACTGTGTTTCTGCTGGTTTCGCCTCGTTGGTGGGGTGGGACATGGTGTTCATCCCAGTCGTCGTGGCGCCGGGCCACCCCCGCTACCCGCGGGAATGGCGGCAGAGGTTGGCCGGGGTTGCGTACGGCGTTCTGTACTGCTACGGTATAGAATGCGAGGTGCGATTCGCACTCCTGGTCCAGGTGTACCATCTCGTTTGGCAACATGGTTCAGGCCGATCGGCATCAATAGGTTTCACATTGCATACCTTCTACAGATCATCCCCATGTCGTGTAAATACGAATGGCAAACTATTGGTGTTTTCGTGCAGGTTAACGAGCGGGACAGTGCCAAGCTGAACGAGATGACTGAGGGTGACAGCAACGGGAAGGATGGTCAGCCAAACCGCCGAGGGTTCGATGATACTTCTGATGTCGACGGCGGCACCAATACCCTGCCGTTTGTGGAGGTTGCACACAAGAGAGTGGGCAGCATGGTCCGTATGGCAACGGTTGATAAGTGAGTCGTCTTCCGTAGACCAACTTCGAGATGGATGCGATGGCAGAGCTTCCCCTACTCTATAGCCTCTCGGGCACCCGCCGAAATATATCTATTCGCCACGTCTCTGCCCCATGTCCTGTTCTTGCAATACTACTACAGCTTCCAGGGGGAAGAGAGTAAGATCATCATCATGAGCCTGGTCCGGTCCAACCGCAACGCTGACATCGGCTTCTTGCGATCCTCCAACAGGTACGCTGACATGATTGGCCTTGGCTGGTTGTGGGATCGTCTATCTCGGGTGGAACGAGGAAAAGGAACATGTCCTTAGCGATCTTGCCCCTACGACGATGAGACAGGCTGGGAATGAACTGCATTGCCGGCCGAGTGTACTGCTGACGATGATGATCAGGCACACGCGCGAACTTGATCGTCAGCGAACGGATGAAACGTTGCTATTTGGTGAATACTGGCACCTTTGCCGTAGCGAATGTTTCAATTGTGTTGTGTTTGTGACGCTCATACTTCTGGTGTCCCCTTCCTGTTTGTTCCCGTCATGATGTTTATGCCACAGGGTCAACGTTGCGTTGTCTCGAGCGCAGCATGGCATGTACATCATCGGGAATGCAGGTGAGAGCCAGGAGAGTGCACGGCGCACGGCAACATTCTTTTCCTACCATTGAGCACACCATAGACATGGCGTGTATCATGCAGTGCGTCGGCACTGGATCGCGTTCGAAGATAATGATTGAGGCATGAGAAGGAGATGGACGCGACGTTTTTGAACCATAGACTATCGATACAGTGCTTGCATATGAAGCCGCCTCGTTGTTGAGGGTTGGCAAACAAACGCTATGAAAAACGACGAACGATATTTTCAGGTGACTGTTATTGTCCTTCTCTCCCTATCGTGGCTGCAGGCATGCTCGAGTCGAAACGCGGGACCATGTGGTCGGAGTCGGTCATTCCTACCCTACGAGAGAAGGGCGCCATCGGCACCACGCTAGAGCTGCAGTGTGCCCGTCACAAGGTACACACCGAAAAGGAGTGTAAGGAAAAAAACGTTTCCAGAATCGGTTTCAATATTCGTGCAAACAAACGATGTATCAAGTACATATTTCGGAATCCGTCAGCACCATACGCATAGAAAATGTGACCGAAACCGAAGTTTCGAACTCGTTTCTGGTGTCTGGGCAGGACTCCATCACGGTCATCCACAAGTATGAAGAGTTCGCTTCCCTCGCCGGGGATGGAGGCTGCAGCCGCGCGTGCTCCTCTCGTTTGCCGTGCGGGCACGCATGCTTGAGAAGGTGAGCACATGCACTGGTACTATGCAGCCCCGACATCTACAGACTTCGCTAGTTGGTGTCACACTCGTTTTCGACACCTTAAGGACGCGAGCTGTTGGAGTTTCACTAATATGAAATGTGTGTGGGTGATCAAAAGCGTCCTTCTAACGTTTTGTTCATATCATAAGCGCGCTCCATCCATTCGCAAGTGTCCTCAAAGGAGGAGGTCGCCTCTGATCACTTGTGTTGGTTTTTCTAATTTCATTCAATACACAGTGGCATGTATTACCCCGGATCTGTGCTCTTCACCCGGCAAGACAGTGCGGACAAGGCCAGAGTTGCCGGCGACGGCACCGAAGAGAATGACAACTATTCATGTTGAGTAATGCCGTGGATTGCAGTAGGACCGAGACCCTGAAATTTTCGCGTGTTGCTCAAACCACCAACCGCAGGTGTCATCCGGATGACCCCCATCACCTCGGGGTGCGTTGCAGCGAGCCACGCCCCCGTCTCCTGCAGCCGTGCGAGCACCCTTGCCAACGGTACGACCAAGCAGAGTACCAACCGATGAGGTCTTCACACATCTACACTCGCCACTCACCACAGGCTACAACATGTTACCGTTGTCGCTCGGCTCCAAGTACATGGAGCATGTTGAAGTAACGCAATAAGCGAGCAGATAACCCTTCATGAGTTTATTTGTTGCGTGTTGGGCTCACACATGTTTTCACCAAAGGAAGGGGTGGAATACTTCCAGCGGTGGAGGGTGTGTCACTTTCCCATCCCGCTCCCTCCCCCACCTTCAGGACAACACCATGGGTACTTGAAATCCTTCTTGCGCTGTTTCCAAGCTACCCGCTTGAGCTCTAGACTGTACCCACATGAAGCAAGTCTCGAACGCTCTTATTGTGCCACGTGAGCCAGACTCTGCGGGGACGAGTGCGGCCCTTGCTACCAGAGGGTCGATGTGGTCGGTCTACCCTGCGGCCATGAAGCGAAGAACGTGTCCTGCGTGACATCAAGGCATCCAAAGTCCATTTGGTGAGACGAGTTTCTTCGAGTTTTGGGTCGCGTTTCCGTCGTACCTCTTGGAGTCAATCTTTCGAGACGTGAAACCGACGATGTACAGTTTTTCCAAGTAGAGATCCTGGTGAAGCAGACCAAGAATGGATCAAACATCCATATCCCATTGACACACGTCTGCCGGTGGTTCAAGAATTTTCAGGGATGTTCATGGTGCGGTTTTTCTCGACGGTTGACCGCACCGCACCGCACCGTCAAATATCAAGATGCGCAAAACCGCACCGCACCGCACTGTCACATTTCCAGATGAAATAATCCGCACCTCACCGCACCGCAAAAATTTACAAATAACCGTAGTTGCGTTTTTATCACGGTGCGGTTTTTCCTACCCCTTAGCCGAAACCGCGGTAAACCGCGGTAAAAGCCGCAGTAACACGCGGCAAAAAGCGCAGCTAGGGCACGGTTTTGTCGTGCAGACACACACACCAGGAACATTTAACATTACGATCATTTAAACACGCGGCAAAAAGCGCAGCTAGGGCACGGTTTTGTCGTGCAGACACACACACCAGGAACATTTAACATTACGATCATTTTTTTTTAATAATCCAGCACAGACGCAACACCGTGTCCCTACAACACGCACACACACTACCATCTGATTGTAGCCAGTGGCGAGCATGAGCCGCCTGGTGGTGCTGCCAGATTTTGTGTAGCACTTGTTTGGCATCTTCCAACAACAGTAGTAGAAGTGAGCAATGTAGCTGCTGTTGATGTACGCGTGTTGTAGGAACGTCTATAGGTGACTGGAAAAATGAAGTAAATGATCGGGAGCTTTTTTGTTGTATGGGTTTTTCGGGTCTTCTGACCACAAACTGCGGGATTTGTCGTGGCGACCTCATTTCGATGGACCAATCGAACATATTCTACGAAAAACAAAATCGTGGAGACCCCGTCATTCTGTCACGGACAACCGTAGTATTATTCGCGGTGTTCTTCAACGGTGCACCGCCGCCGAGGCCGCGGTTCGCCCGGTTTTCATTTCGAGGTAGAAAAAACCGCACCGTAAATAAAACCGTGCGACGGTGAACCCCACCGCACCGCACCTTCAAATGTCGAGTTGAAAAAAAACGCACCGCACCGCACCGCACCGTGAACGAGTAAAAAAACAGTAAACCGCACTGGGGTTCGGTTCCTCACCGTGAATATCCCTGAATTTTTTGCCCGTATTTTCAGCTACAGGCAACAATCGCTTCGCGGGGAATCAATGTACTGTAGACCACAGATATACCTGAAGTCACGTTCGACGCAGATACTGTGCCCGCTCACTCTGATTGTCCGGGTTCGCTCCATCGACAGTTGCGGCGAACCGGTGGAGCTCAAGGTCCCCGGCTGTGGGCATGAGATCAGAGGTCGATGCACTGCCACCAGGGATATCGTCCAAAACCCCGCAAAGTGCACTGAAACGTGAGTGCATGACAAACGATACGCGGGACCCAGACTGGGGCCCATCTCACACATCAGGTCACGGACCAAGAAGGGTAGGCGTGGACACCAGAGTTACTGTATTCAACCAGTACGTACTTCTTCAGTATCGCAGCCTCGTTGTGACGCAATTTTTTTAAGGTACTAGGCTATCAATGCATTGACCACAAGACACAACGTTTTGGACGCCCAATGACCTTCCGCTTCAATACCGAAAGCCCCACACCTTGCCTTTCTTCGGATAAAAAAAAACAAACAGCTGCGGGAAGCCCCTGCCGTGCGGACACTCTTGCGCGGCGACATGTGGCAGCTGCACTCAGCTCACCCAAAACAAACAGCTGCGGGAAGCCCCTGCCGTGCGGACACTCTTGCGCGGCGACATGTGGCAGCTGCACTCAGCTCACCCCGTCCAGGGCAACGACGGCGGAGGAGACGACCCCTCTCCAGCAACAGCTAGAAGCACCAACCGCAACTGCAGCGGGTGGCGTGTGGGCGGAAGCTGAAGGGGACAGGCAGGCAAAGGACGACGACAGGTCGTTGGCGCTGGCAGCAGCGGTGGTGGCGGCGGCGGAGCAGAGGACTCATCACGCCAAATGCACGACCGTAAGTTTGTGCCGATGCGTTCCTCCGAATTAGGTATGCAGGGGAAGCCGTACCTCGTGCTTGTACAGCACGAGAAAATCACCGAAGAAGTCGAAACACCGACTAGTGAGATTGCTGCGTTGTATGCATAGGTTGCTGACTTGTTTTAGCTCTCCCGCTGTCCGTTGCTCCGTCACAGGAGTGCGGCCGTCATCGGTCGTGCGGGCACCGTTGCCGGCTTCCCTGCCACGGAGGAGAGCCGTGCCCCCCCTGCCTGGAGCCGTGCACCCTCTCGTGCGAGCACTCATCTTGCGCCCAGGCGTGCATAGGTGTGTGTTGCCTGGCCTGCCATCGGCGTACCAAGCACCAAGGAAAACCCCCCTCCTTTGCCGTATCAAAGCCCCGCCACCTCACGACGCTACAACTACGTCACTTCTGTCTGCACCCTGCGCAGCCGCTGCGAGAGGAAGCTGCCTTGCGGCCACCGTTGCCCCTCCGTGTGCGGCGAGGACTGCCCCGGGTCGGAATTCTGCAGGGAGTGCGCCAGGGTGGACACGCCCGCCATGACGCAAGTGGTGGACATGTTGGAGTTCACCACGTGAGGGTGTTACGTGTACCACAGAGCCCTACATAGACTTTCGTTTCGAAAGGTACCGACTTCGCATCTGATGAAGAATACCCACCAAGATCTGGATGTTCCTTCTCGTATCCTTCATGCATACGCGTGCTGCAGGGATACCACACAGCTCTTGTGCAGTAGCCGAAACGTGCATTCCCCGCCAGAATGTGTTGGCTTCTCTTGCGTCATTCGACTATAATACAAGGTTCTAAGCCTTTTACCTGCAATGGGCGCCGCCGCACTTCCCTGCCCCACACTTCTCGTTGTTTTCGTGTGGTTAACTCCCTCTGCGCCCCGGAAAGGCTCAAGGACCACGACCCGTCCATCGACCCAATCATCGTGCTGGGCTGCGGCCACGCCTACACGCTCACCACCCTGGACGGCCTCCTGGGCCTCGAGTCAGCTTGCGCGAAGGTAAGTCTGTCGACACGAAACGACGGTACACCATTCAGGCCGTATGGGCGTAATTTCCAGGTCGATCGCATCCCTCGCCTTGCTTTGCCTGCCCGTGGCGATCCTCTGCCAAACACTTTCCTCCCGGTCAAACCCAATCTCCTTACCATGGTGTTGCACGTCGCTGGCAGGACGAGAAGAGCGGGAGGTGGGTCGCGCCGCTGCCTCTCGAATCCGACTGCAGCAAGCTTAAGCTTTGCCCGGACTGCCGTGCCCCGGTGTCCGGGGTGTCGCGGTACAACCGCGTCACCAACAAGGCGAAGGCGAGACGATGGTGTCGGTCGTTCTGATACAAATGCTCCTTGGGCCCTTGTTGATCGTTGCGTTGTGATTGCTGAGGACGGTAACAAACCAAGTACGTTGGCACGGACGGGGCAAACACACGTCGGTAGTCTGGGTGCTTGTGAAAGGAAGCCTCTATGCTCCGACGAAAAACAATTGTTGATCGTAGAATGCACAAAGTAACCGACAATACTCTGATCGGGTGAGCCAGGTGATGAGGACCGCTACGAGTACGATCCTCACGTGGGGGATTTCACACGTCTGGGACGAAACAGTGGATGAACTATTGGTTCTGTACCTCTGCGCGTGAAATGTTTCCTCCGTAGGTTGTTACCTCCAGGGTAACACGCTCGATATGGTAACTGCTTGGCCGGCCGGTGAACACCTAACGCAAAGCCTTGCGGGAGTAATTTAGCTCGCAGAATAATATTATTGGACAAAGTTTTGAGGTTGCGGGGTATCGTCGCCGACGAAAGTGGGAGGGGGCGGCTCAAACGAACAAGAACAAAAAACGGGCAGATGGGCAACGCATATTGCCTCAACATCCGGGAAATAAGCCGAAGCCTCAATTCGTTCGTTCTCTACCCTTCGCATGGCCGTCTCGATACATCCCAGATGGACATGGCGGAGGTGAAACACTCTGAGTGGTGCAGGAAGGAGATTGCGCTTGCTCACACAGACCTGGTGGTGGCTGCAGCTGACGGAACGAAGCCCAAGCTCCGCAACAATCGGTAGGGCAACGCCCAAACACATGCCGTTGGCCTCTTGTGCGCGTCATACAGCTTCATTGATCGGCTGCGCTGTTCATGCCACGCTGCCCCATTTGTTTTCATGACTGTCTCCGGGTGACAACGTCATACGACCCCTAGCTGCGGCTACCTCTCGGCCATGTCACCGCAGCTGACGTTGATGTATCGCCCAAAAAGCCTCCGCGGTTATCACCATTCTTCAAGACATACCAATGCAAATTTTGTGCTTGCCAGTTCAGCAGCACGGCATCGTCTTTCGCAGCATTTAGAATGATTCCCACTAAGCTGTGGGCACGACCCGCTTCGTGTCATCGCTCCACATCGAACCGTTTCCCCTCGCTTAGCATGAGGCAGGCGGAAGGGACGCTCAAGAGGGTAATCCAAGCATCACAAGAGACCCCGTGCACGCGGGTGAGGTTTGGTGTTCTAGAGCACCGTGTGGAAAATGGCGTTGCTTCGTCGCCTATTTTGTCCACCTAGTATTCTGTTCGGAACCTACCGTAGACCATTCACCGTACCTTGGCCTATTGACGCCTGGTTGGTATAGAAAATAGCAGAAGCCCTGCATTTGCGCTATGCGCGAATGACGGCTTGAATGTTGGAGCACAAGGAGCGGATCATTCAAAAATACCAGTTCTGCAGCAGCCCGAAAAACTATGATCGACAGGCTATGCTGATTCGCTGGACCTCAAATCGCACTCACTCGCACAATGGAGCTTGCGACAGCCACAAACCCTATTTTCCAGCCGGGATTTTCCTTCGAATTTCCGACCGTCGATGGCTCGGCTTCTACTCCGTGGTTTACTTCCCACGCACCACCTACGCAGGTTTTCGAAGCTGCCACTGCCACCCTCATGCGTGCCGGAGCTTCGGCCCACGAGCTGGCCACCGTATCTCGCCTTCAACCCGACCATAGTGTCCGCGCCAAGGCAATGACTGGGATTGGTCAACTCCGGACGCTACAGCTGGAGGCATGCCGACTGCAGCTGGAAAAGGTGGGTGCTTTGGCGGCGAGTCTCTGCGTGCCAGCGAAAATTACCGATCAATTTTGTGCCTGCTTCAGTCTTAGCGGTTGTCAAACGAAGCACTACGGCCAACAGTGGTACAGGGTGTCCACAGCTTGGGTGATTGCCTCTTTATCATTCCCGTTTTCGAAGGTGCGATTCACATATTTCTGTGTTGAGTCTCCCGCAAAATGCTTCATATCCTTCCCGCGACTTGGAGATGCTGTGAGCCCGCTTTCGCTCCGCGTTGCCTCACCCCACCGCCTGCAACACCACACCACGCCCGGCAACAACAGGCGGTACGCTCCGTGGCATGCACATCGACATCGTTGACACAAGCCATGCAGAGGATACCACCTACGGCGAACGCAGAGTCTCAACACGCCCGCCGGGCTCAAGACGCCCGCCGGGCTCAAGCGATCAACCGCGCTAAGACCCTTGAAGCAACCACTAGCCAAAAGTACAGGCAGGGTAAGAGCACCCTCCTGGCCGCGGTTCAAGAAGCCGTTGCCGCGCGTGCAATGGCCGCGGGCGCGGCGGCAAGGGTGAGCAGGGGGGAAAACCATTTCCAGTTCTCTCCGCGGGTTAACCGTAAAGGAAAAAGCATGGGGATGCGCTTGAAAAACTTTTCCACGTGCGTTTTTTATCATTTCCCCTTTGTCGTTAGGTAAAACATAGAGACAAGAAAGGTTAACGCAAGGTGTCCAGGGAGAATCGGCTTCAGCACGTGTCACCGGACCAAACGTTCCTGACAAAGTTCGCTCCCCCGTTGATTGGCAAGACTCCCCTTGCCCGGAAAACGGCAGGATCGACCATTGTTTCANAACGTGACACACACGCGCTCACCAACATCGGGAGGCAAATGGTACGACTTGAACTTTACAATTTGTGCCAAGTATGCGATAGTGCATCCCGAGCACGGCCGACGAGGCTTGATTGTGGCCCCGTACCCCCGTAGTTGAGACGAACCTTTCTGCGATTGACGGAATTCCGAGGTTTGTCCGCCTTGCCGTTGATTGGCTTCGACCGTCAAAGCCGATCCGAGAAATCCGCCTGGTTCTCCCGACGTTTCGGTGGATGTCGCAGGTCCAAGAAGGGATCAATGAATGCAGGACCGTGGCGAGCATCTCCTTGGGCAGCGTGCGGCAACAGCACGAAGAACACGTGGAGACGAGCATGAAGCACCTCCTGCACCTCGACGAAACCATGAAAGGAATTTCCCAAATGGTGAGATACTTCACGTTGTATACATCCAAAAAGCAGGTGAATTGGCTACGTGGCACAACGGATAAAGCTATCATTCCCCGGGTGGCGCTATAATGATTCCCTCCCAATTCTTATCTGGTCACCGCTATGTCCGCAGGAGGTGGAAATCGTGATGGCCGTGGCTGCGGACCCCGGCCTCTCTGGTGGGGTGACGAAGTACCACAAATGCCCGAACGGTCACGTGTACGGTGTGGGAGACTGTGGTGCGCTGAACGGGCGCGGGATCTGCCCGGAGTGCGGACTTGCGATCGGCGGCCCAGGTTATCATTGATGATTGGGAATAGCCCGAATGTGGCGATGTTTGCCGAGGTCCTCTCTCCTTCCCGCCTCCACGTTCAACAAGCTTAGAATTGGTCATCGGTCACTCCGAAATCGGCCTCATGTTTGCAGGTAGAGTCTCTTGTCGTTACGTGTCAGGGGGGCTGGTGGTGCGTATATGCCAGACGGCCATATCAGGAAGCAACTCTCACCGCGACGCAACTTTAACACCGCTTGTTGCTTCTTCATGGATCGATCGCAACAACAGGGGCGTTCTCGGGGCGGTGTCGCGATGACTCTTCGTCGGTCATTGCACGGAAACAAAGTAGCACCTGGGGCATTAAACTAGATACCGAAGCGGTGGGACAGGGGAACGGGATGCGGCAGAGTGAAGTAATCGTTGGTACTATCTCTGGTAACTGCCAATGGTGCTCGTTCAGGCGCGAGACATCTTGGCTCACTGGAACTTCCCGTGCTACCCGCGGCGAGTTAGGACTTAAGGGTAGGGGTCAGCTGGAAAGGGTGTGGACAAATTCTTGGTGTACATGCTACTGTGAAAGGCAATCTTTCTTAGACGCGTGTTTTCTGGTCCATGACTATGAAGCGTGAAATGGACAAGGGGCTTAAATGCGGCGGCTTGTTCCCGTGGCAGCTCCGGCTTCAGCTCGCCGTGGGGGAGCGGGGTCACAAAGGGCTCGTTTGAAGAATCACGGGAGTGGGCGCAGACTTTGGTGATTGCATGCCGCAGGGTGCAACCGCAACACGTGCTTGCGCATGGGCACGATGTGCTGGTGCGCAAAGACGTCTTACAGTTCCCGGCGCTATGCCCGGCATGACGAAGATTGAAACTGCTGTAGATTCTACTGTGGAGACCATTTGTTCGTTGCAACTACATTGGGATAATTGCATGTCGCTGGGTGCAACCGCAACACATGCTTGCGCATGGGCACGATGTGCTGGTGCGCAAAGACGTCTTACAGTTCCCGGCGCTATGCCCGGCATGACGAAGATTGAAACTGCTGTAGATTCTACTGTGGAGACCATTTGTTCGTTGCAACTACATTGGGATATCTCACGCAGAGTGCTGGGTGACCCATGTATTCCATGCACCCACACCCTCCACAGGCCGAAAAATCCCACGCACGAAGAAAAGAACGAAAAATTGCGCCTCGAACCCGTTTTCGTCACTGACTGCAGCAGCAGCGGCACTTCAACCGGCCACCAGTTAATTTTCAGTCAAAGCAATTCTGTACTTCTTCACTAAAGTTCGCTGCCTTGGCAAGGGGCATGACACCGGCTGTAAGCTCTATCTCTCACCCTAACTCTTTCCGACAGGTGCTACATACTGTGCTGTGTAGGTTGGCCCTGGGTGGCTAAGTTCCTAGGTGTGCCGGCATCAGCGCCAGGTGTGTGTGTGGTTTTTGTGTGTTTTCGTCCTATTTATTATGGCGACAGTCCCCCCATTTTCGTGGTGAGACGTGTACTACACTTACTTTTCAGCGTCTGTAGAGTAGTAGTCTACACTTTTCAGTGTATTTCAGGTAATGGGTGCTACAGGTTGATTTCTGACGTGGGTAGGTGCTAGGTTGTTGGTGCTTGGAGTAGGCCAATACAGTAGTAGGTCGCTCTTGCGAGGTAAACGATGCTCGTGCACGTCTGTAGTCTAATGGCGGGACTTCCAAGTAAGTGTGGGTGCATGCCTCTGTAGACTATGCGTTCCCCGGGGTGCACAAGAGTGCATCGAATATTTTGACTCACTTGCCAACCCTCTTCGTACGTACCTATTTTGGGTAAGTTAGCCTGAGACCACGGGAATCGACAGCGTCAAATGTTAGACTAGTAGGAGTTTTTTCCGCGCGCGAAGCGCGCGTGCGATGAAAAAACGGAGCGATAGCGGAGCTTTTTTTTTCGCAAAAAAACTGTTTTAGATGGGTCCTTTTTGTTTCCCC